CAGATGAAAATAAATGTGGAAGTGCTGGAGGAAGAAAAATGTTGTTATTTTCATGCTTAAGGCAAATTAACAGTTAATTGAGGAAATCCTTATAAATAGGGGAGAAAGTCACGACATGAAGCATATTTACAACAATCAATCCCTGTCCTAATGTTAAGCTGGAACGAATAGTCAATTAGAAATTACAGTTAACTAATGGTCTGGGTGAGCTCAAGTCTCAATGACGGAGGGGCCCTTTAATGACCTGACCTTACTCTGTGATTTAACTCACAATTCCTAGTTTGTTTTAAAAACCGCTTTTTCAGTCAATCAAAGACTGTTTTCAAAAGGAGCGTTAGGATTGAAACTCTGATTGAATCGATGAAGTTCAAAATCTATAAAAACTATTCGAAATTAGCTCACATAATGAAATCCAAATGAAAATTGGATGAAATCTTCGACCGATTCATTCTGAAATGCGCTCAAATCACTTAGAATCCTTCCAAACTAGCAATATGTGAACATGTTTCATGCAATTTATTCTCACTCTACTCCACATTTTATGTCGCTTCAAAATATATATTTTTTATGAATCCTCCACACAAAAACAGCACAGCGAGTGAGAATCCACATTTGCCAATAAAAAATGCATCTTAAGCACACAAAGAAATAAAAAGAATATTCATATTTTGATAATATATTTTTTACAAGATAAAATTGTAAGATTTAAAGGAAGCAGGTTGCATAAAAATGAGAGGAAAAAAATCTCAAAGTTATTTAAAAAATACTTTATTAACTGATAAGATATGATGCACGTATTGAAAACATAATTAAAATTAAATTTCTTTTTGTGTAGCAACAACTTTATTTTGTTTCTTAAATTTGCTTCATTTTTTTTTATTGTCTCTTTTGGCCTCTCGCTCTCCATTATATCATCCCGTTCGTTCTCTTCTGCATAACGAAGTGGAGAATTTAAATTCATTCTGGTTTTCAACTTTTATTCTTCTTTCTTCATCTTCAAGCAAAAGAATAAAGTTGAAAAAAAAATATATAATAAATGAAGAAGGAATAAAAAAAAATATGCATACAAATGCCCATAAAATATAACGAAAGAGCAGGAGAAAAAAGAAGGAAAGAAATCGACATTCTTGCGGATCCTTTGTAGTTTAACCGCAAAGTCTTCACAAAAAGAGAAATAAATGCGAAAAAAAAGTAAACAGCTAAAATATGTATTCGTGTAAATTCCATCACATCTTTTTTAATTTAATCATACGAATATGTATGGAAGAAGCAACAGGAGAAGATGGAGCAGTGGAAAAATATTTTGCGACTGTTAAAAAAATTTTGCAACAACTTGAAATCAGCCAAATGTGTTAAGCGATCGCTCAATAAAAAATTTTATCGCATGATTTGCTGTAACAAACACGTCAGCTAGCTTGCTTTATTATTAAATTCTGTTTTCCACTGATGCATTATGGGAAGGAGAATCATATTTGGGGGTGTTCTTAAATTACGTCTGTAATATTATTCAGGTTCCTAGACCCAATCATCTCCCATATTGTCTTCTACTTTAGCTTGAAAATTCCGTAGCACCCCTTTAAAGTTGACGACACTGATGAATGATTTATTTTCATAAAAATTCAGACATATCAAATGGATGAAGGAAAAATATTTTCCTGTGACATGTATACACGTGGGAATGAATGAATGATAAAATAAAAATGCTCTAAATTCATCTCAATTACTGACTGTGATATATGCTGATATTCGTGATTTACGTTAATATGAAATATTTAGCATATCATATGTTGTGACATTTCTTCATATTTATTTGCTTATCGTGATCACATTTTTATATTTCTGTGAGAATCTCGTTTCCTTGGCATAAGCCAGGTGTGTTAATATTTAATCATTTGACAGGTTTCTGATGGAAAAGTATGTTGGGATCTTTGGGATTATGCTACACGTGATGAAAAAAACTAAGCTATAGTTTGGTCTTTGTGGTTTAGATTAATAGAATATGATGCATTTAAATAACTTAGAGAATAAGGCTGTTTATGCTGAATTATGATAAATAAACTGAACTGTGCTGAATATCTGAACAGTGCTGAATTCGCTGAAAATGCTGAATAAGGTTAACTTTGTTGAATAAACTGAACTGTGCTGAATTAAACTGAATAAGCTGAATTGTGCTGAATAAGCTAAACTTTGCTGAATTCGCTGAATTATGAAATCTTAATTTGGGCTGAATAAGCAAAAAATACTCGAATCACAACATCATGTCAACCACTTAAAAAATCCATCAATCTTCCCTTTAAAGAAAATTCCTCACGCCTTGCAAAATAAATAAGTAAACAAACTTTTCCTTCCGCATCTTTATTTCCAATAAAAGTATCAAATTCAAATGCACACAGTATTCAGATTAAAGAGAAGTGATTACCTTATCCGATATTCAAGTATCGAGAGTGAATGATGATGTGAATTGACAGAGAAATTTAAAAGCGAGAAGGAAATTCTAAAAGATTTATCATTCATCAAAGTAAAGTGAATGTTGGCAAGCTCTCTCGCACACACAATAACAAGACGAAGAAGTTTTTAACTGAATCTGAATATATTCATAAAGAAGAAGTTTATAATGCACGAAGAAAATTCAAACGAAAGTATAAATGAACAAGTACTTAAAATGTAAGATAGGCAAAAATGGCTTAGAGCAACGCTTCCATTTATTTACACGAAATAAAAGAAGAAGTTTAAAATCAAAATAGTTGAAAGAAGTAAACAAAAGTAGCAGAAATGAAAAAGTAGGAAGAAGAGTTGAAAAACGAAAGGGAAAGGAATTGAGATGGATGATAATTTGCTCTAAATTGAGTAAATAAATTCAAATGAAAGCAGATGGTAGAGGTTCCACGGTTACTAGTTTGATGTTGTGGTTCAAAAGTAAACTCTAGCATTTAGGCGAATCAACTGAGGAGGAAGCCTCAATGAATATCTAGGCATAATGTCAAGTTAGACTCTGTCTAGACTAAGGTCAGCTAAGAAAAACTTTTCTCTCATATGAGCTAATTCGATTCTCATTAAAGAAGTCTCTAGTCAAGAAACCATAAAAATCAGTAGCAACTGACATTTTCTAAGGCTAAGCCCCTATCCATCCACAGCAAGAAAAGAGAAAATAATTTGATTGAAATCTACATAAGCAAGTTTATAAGGAAAAAAATTTTCACTTCTAAATGAGGGGTCGTTCACTTATGACGTCCGACATTTAGGAGGGGAGGGGTTCTAGGATTTTGTGACAGTTCAAACAATGTAAATTTTTTTCTATAGAGTTTTTGTGACAGAGGGGGGGGGGGGGGGGGAAGGGGGGTCTAAAAATCAGGTTTTTTGATGGACGTCATAAGTGAACGACCCCTGAACGAGTGCTCTGCTCATTTATGATAATATGCACGCAAAATGACAATCTCTTCTTTTACATTTCTGAATTGCTAATGAACAGCATCATCATCAACATCTCATCTCGTAAACGACAAACGACATTGTCGATAATGGGTAACAGTAACAAGCACCGAGAAGTAAGCTAAGAAGACGCACAAAAGGCAAATCATTTTCCCTTTTTTTACTCAATTTTGCTTTCATTTGCTAAAGGCTGAAAAGCGGTACGTACACAAGATATGTTGTTGAGGGAAAATACGTAAGCGAAATTGAAAAGAAAACAAACTGAGAATTGGAATATAAAATTTTATCTTTCATGGTGAAAATAATTGAATTCTTAAATCAACATGAAGCAATTCACAGAGCAACATTCTTAAGCCTGACTGGATTGTGTGTTGTATGAGGAAAAAATTTGTTGTGTAATGATATCATTAAATACTGAATAAATAAAATTAATTTATTTAAATACATAAAGTGCGCGAGTCATGAGAGAGTTGCAGTTGATCTTATTAAGGCTGCAAAATGGGAATGAAAAAGAGTTTCAGACTTTAATGAGTAGGAATTTTTTATGCATATATACGCAATTTATAGTCATAACGAGAGAAAAATGACATTTTATTCAGAACAAGTTAAATGAGCTTTTTGTTTAAGTGCTACTACTCTTACTTGCCACTGCCTCCATCGTATCTTGACATTAATGACCTTCGTAGAAGATTAAAATGTAAAACATTTTTAAAGTTCATTGAGAGAATTCTTTATCCATTATAATTTATTTACCATGTCAGTGAAGTATGAGGAAAGACTGTCGACTTACTATTTCTACAGAGTTGTGGTGTCATTTTTTGACTTAATTGCTTTTGATGATCAACTCATAGTTGAGTGGGATCGAAGTGTATATACAACTTGTCTTTATGAGAATGGGCATGTTTTTTATTGGAGTGTTTAACATTTTAGTGCTTGTCAAGTTACTATAACAGCTTAATTGAGTTAGAGGATCTTTATCAGTAGGAAGTCCGGACTGTGTTTGATGACTCTATTTTATAGAGTATAATTTACCTTAGAGAACATAGTAATCATCCTTAATATCAGCTGTTGGTTGTAAAAAAAATAAAATTTGGTCGTCTAGCTTGACATAGTAAGGCACAGATTGCTTTGGTAATGATTTCTAAGCTGTTGCGAAGATTTTAGACTCATTTTGCTTGTCATTTGGATTAAAAACAGATGAAACATTAAAATATCAAGCTTAGTCATGATTCATGATTCATCCTTGACATGAAAGCATCGCTTAGTCCTAATTCGGTATCAGAGTCATTTCATTGATACTAAAAACTTTATGAATCCCATCCTGCAGGATATCCAACTCTGAAACGCGACAATGCAAAATAATTCTCTTCTCAAAAGATTTAAAACAGCCAAGAACATGTGCGATTGAATGAGAGAACAAAGAGCCAATTAAGTGATTGAAATTAATTGACTGGCTATATAAGTGTATGACAAACGCTTATAATGCATTGTTATTTAAAACACGTCCATTAAATCATTTTATGCGAAATATAATAATTTATTTTAATTTTTTTGTCTTAACTTCTTTACAGATCATGTGTTGGACTTGTCACGTCAGTCAGAAAACAAAACGCTTATTTTATTTTCGACAGTATATAGGCGAATGTCGCCACTTTCGCGTACACCAATATTGGAGCTGTACAAAAGTATACGAAGGTAAGTCAGACTCGTTCAAAAAGACATAAAACTGTTCAACATGAATGTGAATTTACATACAGTAGTCGATTACTATCATAATAAAAAATACATACATGTATATTCTTATTTTATCTACATGGGAATTGTACGAGCATTACGTCATGATTTTATTCATATATTATATTGTGCAGCAGTAAAACAGATATTTGCATACTTTCCAAATTATTATTCATAATACATATCTTCCTCCCCGAGAACGTCTGTAGAGTATGTAAGACTGCTCATTTTGACATACAGGATGTGAATATTGAAAAAAATATTCACGCAGCAGCTAAATGTGTATACCATAAAGTAGCTGTCTATAGATACTAAATTTCATATTTTATGTACATCACCACAATTTTCATAATCAACTTGTTATAATTTTTTATTACAGATATATTCGTACGTTATCTATATTTTCTATCTACCTCTGTAATATATGTTTCGACACGCGAAATGTTTTTTTTTTTCTGGCAAGAAAAAACGGCTCCATATGTTCGTGAAAATTAAGAATTACTCAATTTTGAAGGATGTGAATGTGTCTTCTACCCTTTTGGCAAGAATATTAAAATTATTGGGGGTTAATTTTCAATCCATGTTGCCTTACCTTTCAGTCCTTTTGATGATCTTCAGAGTTTCAACCAAATGATTTCAAAAATTAAAGATTAAATAATTAAATAAGCTATAAAGATAATCTACAAAGATTTCTGATTCAACAATCATCAAAGCTGCGTAAAAATGAGTAATTGTATGATTTTCATCTAAAATTACACACTGTGCATTGATGTGTAACTTAATTATATTTCCCATTCGCAAAATCTCAAATAACAAACTAATTATTGAGAGTAATACAAATCTACAGAGTATCGCAGCATCTCATACGAACATAACAATATTGTCGGTTCCCATAAAGAATAACATAAATTTCTGCTCGAAAAAAATTGAACGAGAAAAATATCGATTTTAAATTAAACAGCAACAAAATAAAATTTTCATCCCATCATCTCCTTCTATTTCAGCTACATTTCATCACATAAGCCATTGAGCCACGATAGCGGCGGTAATGATGAACTCGAAGCTGTTATCGAAAAGTTCTTTCGAAATCTTTTTCCACTTGCATATCATCATGCTGTTCATTCTCAAAATGTCGTACCATCAATACCGGGAAGCAGCGGTGGTGAGGAGGAAGCAGCAATATCATCAACAGCAACATCTCCCGATATGGCACCACGAGACTTTCATATAGATTATAAAAATTGTTTAACAAGTTCTTATGAGATTCTTCGGCCGTTTGGCGATATTCCTGACAGTATAAGTAGATCATTAGTACAAAGTGTTAGTTCAGCAAGTGTATTGTTGAGAGCACTTCAACGAGGCACTGAAGTGCTGAGTGAAATTGAAAACTTACCAATTGAATCTTCATTGAGTATGAAATGTCAGCATGCACTTTTAAAGATGAACTATTGTTCTGCCTGTAAGGGACACAACTATCATCATTTAAAACCATGCTACGGTTATTGCTCCAATGTTATGAGGTATGTGTGTGTGTGTGTGTTTATATATGTTTAATTCAATGATACTCATGGTCATAAATTGAACCATTCTCTCGCTCATGTACATGAATACATATTTTTATTTATCTCTTCATCGCATTTTACAGAGGTTGTCTAACACAACTCATGGGTGGCATAGATACTGATTGGGCATCTTTTTCGGAAGCCATTGAACGCTTAATGACACTGGTCAGAAATAAGGACGGCATCGAGTCAGTTATTAAGAATCTTGATGGAAAACTATCAGAAGCTATTATGCATGCGATGACCAACGGACCGGATTTGGAGAAAAAGGTGAGTCATGTCGAGAATATTTTATTGGTTTTTTTTTGAATTTTATTTCTTCTTCATATCTTTTCCTTCTTGTTCGCTCTCGCTTTTACTTACATCATCATCGACGTTTAATATTATCATTATTATATATTGGTTATCCTCGGTCTACTACATTCCATTACGAAAGAATTTTCTTCGTCTTGTTCATTCTGCTTGCTTCTTATTTTTTTGGGAAAGATTACTTATTTGATGAATTAAAAAAAATCAATTATTGATGCAAGGAAATTTGGTTTAATTAGATTTGGAACGCATTTTTGCCACAAATTAAAAAAATTTTTGCGTCACCTTTTCTGAACGCACTATTGATGCGAAAATTAAAATTTGTATTTTCTCTGAATTTTATAGCCAAAGTAGATCCTAGACTTCCCCATAACTCAATTATATCAAAAGCTTATCATACTCCTGGATAAAATTTAGACTTTCTGCCTCTTTCGATGCGAAAAAAATCTTTAAATTTCCACAAATATTTGCTTTTTAGAAATAAGATTAAATGCCAATTACCTTCAATAATGACTTAATAACCATAGCCAAAACGATCTCATTATATCCCAAGCAGATGTTCACTAAACAAGCTTCAGAAATCAAATTAAAGTACTTTTACATGCTTTGGGTATTTCACAAAGCTAATATTTTTTTTCGTAAAATTAAAAAATAAAACTTCTGCTCCAAATTTTGCTGCTCATCAATTCGAGAATCAATAAAAAAAAAGATTGCGAATGAATGAATTATGAGTTTCGCTTATTGATAAATTCATAAAACAAACAATAAAAAAATATAAAAAGAGAACGAATCATTGACCTTTTTTGTGTTTGATTTTATATTGCTGACTATTAAATAATTTAATAACACAAAAAATATGATATATGGACATAACCTATGTCAGCAATTTTCATATACGTACTTATGTACAGAAATATTCACTCTACCGACCATCATAAATAAGAATCATTAAAAGAAATCAAAAAGCACTTACAAATTGACCGAGACGAAATGGCTAATGCTGTATGCTGCCTTTTCTCACATTATTTACTCTCATTTGTGTGTATCTGTGTAGCTGTAGAGTCGCTCTATATGTGTAATGATTTTATGAGTGAGTGAGGCCTAAGCGACCAAATGTCTAAAGTAGCTCTGTTAGCCTCCTTCACATATTATAAGTATATACACCATCATTGTAATACACATGTTTTTTTTTTAATAATTTAAAAAATAAAAAATATATGATAGATAGGTTGAATGAATGTATGAATGTATGAATGAATTGTTGTTGAGATATTTAATACGGTCGATATCATTATTGCCATGTATCATGGGCATTAAATTGCCGTGAAAGAATTGTTTTTTTTTTTTGAAGAATTCCTCCTTTAGAAAAAAATAATAATGTTCACAAAACAGCGGCAACAGCAGCAATTTTGTGCTGCTAATCAATTTCAGATGAGAATGAGAATTATGTTGTTTCATTGCCTTCGTTTCGATGATGATGATGATGATGGTACACTATGATGGCATTTCACTTTTACAAAAGACGAACATGAATTTTATCGTATAAATTGCTGTTGGCTGGATAAGATAAAAAGGCATTATCATTGTTGAGTGTGAGACGGAAATTTATTCTTCTTTTATGTATCGTGCCATTAAGATTGGGTTGACAGCATACGACACAAAACACCAAGTGAAATGAATAAAAGAACATGATTTAAATGCAGTTAAAAGGTGTTCGCAAATTGAAATTGCTCTCGTTTCTGAATTTTTGCATGTTTTTATGAGAGAAAGTGCTGTTTTTTCAGACACTTTGCATGGGTTTTTGGTTGTAAGATTTGGGTTGAGTTGAAAGATAAGCGAGAATTTGCATGCAATGGTCGAAAGTTTGAAAAAGCCGTTAAAATTTAATTTTCAAAAGTCAGAGTTTTTCTGTAAAATTTTTTTAAAATTTGAATTTCTGTTAAAAAAGTAAAATTTTCTTTCCTGACTGCACCCATCAAAAATGCTGTTTAATCAATCATCTCACCTGAATGATCCTTCAACTACCATCAGCTTTTCTTTCATCATGCATTCATGCATGTACAACGAGTACACTAAATGCAAATTATATCGATAGAAGTTGTCTGATGTCATTCTAATAGTGAGATACATACAATAGACTTTCTCTCGAAAATATGTAGGTACAAAAAAAACAACGTGAAAGAACAGCAGCGTAAAGGAATGAATGAAGGAAAAATCAATTAATCTATCTATCGGTATATTTGCATAACGGTTATTTCACATGGCACTTTATGTGAAAATATTTTTTGCAGATCAGATCATGAGATGGTCTTTATTTTGTGCATATTGTGTGTGAATGTATGTGCCTGCTTAAATGAATACACTTAATCTCAAACCGGATTGATATAATAAAAATAAAATAAAAAAAAAGCGACTGCAATGGACTGAACTCGCAAAAATAAGAAATAAAATAAACAAGAGAAGAAAGAAGATTAAAATGCATATGAAATGCGACTTCTACCTCCTTCATACGTCTCCTTCATGTATATGAAATTGTTAAATTGGAATTTCAGTGTTTTTGCACACCCATAAAAAATTTATTTAAATATATGCAATACATACAATACCTTATAAATGTTATATGTAAAGGTTCGAGAACAATTGCAGGTCATCCACGAGAAATGCAATGGTTAGAAGCGAATGGAATGTGATTCCTTTGGTATAGAGACACTCACTCACACCACAGTCTCAAGACATGCCACATTTGCCACCCAAAAACAAGAATCTCTTTTCTTTTCTTTTCTTATTTAAAAACGAAGAGAATTTTTTTCTTCTTTTACCACCTCAGATTCAGTTCTCCTTCTACCTTATAGCTAACATGAACAAGCGACGGCATTAAACATCATCAGGCGAAAGCGCACACATTGAGTGAAAACAGGTTTCGAGCTAGCACTGTGCATATAACTTTTAAATTCTTTTCACCATTCTTCTTCCTTCCATTTCTCAGCTCTCTCGATTTTGGGGGGGAATTCATCAATTACGTTTATAAAATAATGAGATTTTTAGACACCCGCACTCTATCACTTACACTGTTTTTATGAATGGAAGTGTCAAACAGCTTTGTTTTAAAAATTAGACATAACTTATGAACGACTCCCTCAGTTGTTTGCTCGGTTCTCCTCCACCGCATATAAAGATATATTTATATACTTGCTTACTTACTTACTTGCTGTTTTTTTTTACATATCGAGTTAAATGCTGAATACAATCCAATTTCAATTCTCAGCTCTTTCCTTTGTGAACCGAAAAGAAAGATTCTTTTTACTTTTTTTTTTAAGAATGAAGATTTTTTTTTTCTGTTTCTTTTATTTAATTTCATTCCTTCTATAGCAATCCACACACAGAGTCCGCGAGATTTGGAGATGCGGTTGAAAAGAGAAAGAGAGAGAACAGAATGTAATAAAAAGAAAATAACTTTTTTTGCAACTTTTTCATTCTCTTTCATAAAGAAAATTCTTCTTCCTTTTTATTCTTTTCTTCTGTGTTGTTTATTGCCTTCTTATTTTTTATCACACTTTTTTTAAGATGCTTAACATGTATGGTTATGGACACGCTTTGACTGTCTATTAATTTCATGAACTTAAGTTGGATGTTAAAGGATATTTGGTGAAGATTTAATTTATTGGGTCAATTTAGCTTGAATTGAAAGGGATTTTGTGATTTGAAACGGTTTGAATTGGTAGAATGGCTTGGGATCTTGACTTAGAAGATTATGCAGCGTATCATTACAGCTAAACATTACAAGACATTACTTTAGAGTAGCTTCTAAGATAAAAGGCTAGTTTGATGCAAAGATAATGCACAAAAGCTTAATTAGCGTCAAAAAATATGTTCATAGCTTTATGAATCCATAGACTTGTTCTAACTCTTAATTGATTAAAGTAGAATCTGAACTTTTATAAAGCAATTACTCTTCTCATACTAAGCATAAATTAACTCAAGCTAATCTCCAGTTTGAAGAATCATGTTCTGAGACATAAAGTCTACAACTGTGACTACACAAAGGTCAAACACAACAAGATTCATCGAACCTTATCAGTAATCCATTCAAGAATAAATATATCTGGTTTTTGGCATCTCCAACAGTCTTATAAAATATGCAAAATGCGCCCCATTATGTCACCGTAAAGAAATTCGATACGACTTTTTTTTTCTATTTCTTAAACTTTTTTTTTATATTTATTTGAAAGGAATATCAAGAAGAAAAAGGAATTCTTGTGCTGCTGCTTTTGCTGTTTGCTTCATCAAACATTCCTTTTTCTTATTCAATTTCGTATGAAATAAATAAAAAATTCATCTCGTTTTCCATTTCGATTTAACGATAACAAATTTAAAAGAAGTAAAAATAAAAAAAAAATCTTTCCTTCGCTCGTGTTGTATTTTCCAATTTTCCAAGTGAAAGTTTCTCCTTTACTGTTTGATGCTCTCTCGAATGAGAAGCGGTAAGGTAAGGAAAGGAAAAAAAAAGTTTAGAGCACTTCTAAAATTGATCATTTTTCCATCAAGTTAAACTTTTCAACAACATAATTTAAAAAGGAAAACAAAAATTGTTTATTTTAAGATAAAAAAAAAATATAAAAATAAATATTTTCGTTGTCACTGATGCTGCTTCCATTCTCACCATATAAACCAGAAAATGCAATTTATTCCCATTCTTTTATGCTATTCATCTTTATGATAAATTCTTTTTATTTATTTATTTATAATCTTTTTTGACCACAACAACAATGAATGGAGAATGGGAAGAAGTTTGCACAAAGCATAGCAACAAAGTTCATTAAAATTCAAGTGCATAACAGACACTTGGCAGTGGAAGTGTAATATGATAGAGTTGGTTTTGTCCAATGGAGAAAGATTTGCTCTTGATTAACGTATTCTTGAGATGTGAATTTTGTTAAATCTAACCTAATCTAGCAATTACA